TAGAGTTTGTTAAGGAGATAGATTAATTGTAATGTTACTGTTTCAGGGTGCTATGGGAGCATGGAAGAGAGAACATATCTTTTTCTTCTTGCTTTATAGGGAAGATTTTTTAAAAATAGACTAGAAACAGCATCTCTCCTCAGCTACATTGTGAAGTGATATATGTCAAATAATGACACTTGAGAGTACAGTGTATCTCTAAGTACATGAATAAGAGGTTAGAAATTAAAGAATACCTTCTAATTTCATAGATTTGACAGAAAGTGCTACAGGTTTCACCCCTTCCTTCATCTCTGCCCAGCTATATCCTCTCTGTCCATCCATTTCCAAAAGGTGGCTGTTCTTTCAATCACTAAGAAGGTTTTTTTTTTTTAAACTTTATTTAATAGACTATTCCTACTGTACAGACTACTTAACTACCTTGAAATTTTTATTACACTTCATAATATAGGAGTTGAAGTTTATCTCTTCTGTTAGCTACCCATTCATTGTCATTTTTAAACTTTCTTCTCCAATGTATCTCAAAAAATTACTTACAAGAATAAAGGATCAATTTAGACACTCCTGACATTTCTTTTGAGGAAAGTATACAGGAAAGATTTTCACTGTATACTTTCAGTGAACTACATGAAATTCCGCTAAAATTGCTTATCTTCTCTATAGTCTCTAAACAAGGGTGACCACAATAATTCCTTTTTGTTGCATGTGATTTTTGTGTTCTCTTTTACCACATTTTCCAGAGCAATTTTACTCCATCCCCAAACTTGTAGATTCCATTCATCTTCTTGAGCAACATCCAGTAATTAGCAGATCCCATTTTCCCTAGAATCTTCACTCTATAGTAAATCGAGCCTCTCTTGATGTCATTTTGCTCGTGAAGAGACAATAGTGAGAATTTTACAAAACAAATGAAAAATAATGAATTAAGCTTTCTAGTTGTTCCTCAGTGAGAAGCTGGTCTGAAGAAACTTAGTTTACAACTACAGCAAGCATAAATGTCTCCCTTATTGTTCATAAACAGTTGCTTAAAGTCATTGCTTTAATATATAAGCAACACCTATATAATATTGTTTTAATCTATGGAATATTACCATAACCTCAAGAGGTTGAGAGGGTGTCCTGTAGATTAGGTAAATACCAAAGTTAGAGATTTTCATAGTGATAGAAAAGTGACCTTTGGATGGAAAGACATTTTTTTCTTTCTTCTGTAAACAATGGTAATGCTAATGAAGAGTTCCTATAAAATAATAATATTTCAGATATCATACAAAGCAAGCTTCCTTTGGAATAAGCTTTTTATAAGACATTAATAAATCTGCTTCTCTAACTGTAGTTATTTTGTTGAAGTAAGCATGGACCTAAGAAACTAAATCAAACACATTTTGTTCATGAAAAGAATTTTCATTACCTACCTTATCATTACCCCTTTTTATAGGAATTTCTGTTTCATAGACATTTATGGGTGAATTTGACTCTTTGAAATACGTATATCATTGGTACCTGTAAAAGTTTGAAAGTATTAGATAGGGTTGTATTCTTAAGAGTGGAAGTAACCTATACTTCCCCTTTTAAGGCCAAATAGTATTTTCTTAAGTTTGGCAAGTTTCAAAAAGTATTTGTTCCATTGACTCAGCCTAAGGAAATATTGAACACAAGTATATCTTATTTAATAGTTATGAAGTTGGGCATGAGATTTTATACTTAAGTATATCTTAATAAAGAACTGGCCCTATGTCTGTGAAGCCCTGGACAAAGCTCTACTGTTACCCTTGGCATTTTGTACATCTGATTGTTTTATGATGATGATACTTCAGGAAAACCTACAAGTAGAAACTGCTAATTTCCTAATTAATTAAAAATTGTTTTAAAGGTTTCATAGTTATTTAGGAAGAAAGAAAACCTGGTAGAGAAAAAAATTCATGCAGATTTTAGGAGATGTTATGTTATTTTATAAAAGAATTGTGGAAAATGAAATATTCTGCTACAATTTAGGTGTGCTACAAAAAACTAGGGCAACACTTACTTTTAGAAATATCAAGTGTTATGCACTGCTTTATAATTAATTACATAATTATCCACCAGAACACAAAGATCCCAGGGTACCTTAGTGGAAACACTACATTTACAAATAAAATAATAATAATTATCACCTACTATATTCAAAGTATTTTATTAGCTATAATTTTTAACTTCCCAAATCTCTGTATATAAATAAACATCATTAAGAATATTAATCTTTTCTGTAGTTCAAAAATAAAACTAAGGCAGAAAAATTGATTTGAATTATAAATTAGACATTATGGTTTTGAATCTTTTTAAAGAGTCAGATATTTAATAGAAACAATAGAAGTTTATAGAGTACAGTAGTAGCTCTTGCAGCTATTTATGAATTACCAGGTAGTAATTACAACTATCACCTTTTCTTTCAAGCACGTGATCAAATCAGTTTAAATTTTATAAACAATGTCATGGTAGCCTTGAGTATTGCAAATACTTAAGATGTGACAGGACTTATTTTAGAGTCACTATCCTAGGTATCTTGTAGCTATATGAAGTTGTAGACCATTAAAACCACTGGATTGGGAGATTGAAGTGGTGTGATAAATTGAATATCACAGAATTTAATTAGGTCATAAGCCAAGGTTTACAAACCACATCTTGCTAACATAGCAAGGCCTTTTTCAGTGAAACACCATTTTGGTAAGGTGGCCATTAAATATCTTTCTAGAAGCTTTGGGCCTCCAGGACACTTGATGTTCCTTTATAGGACAATGATTACTAAGGTGAGAACTGTGACAGGATGAGACCAACACAAGCTAATACTTATCTTTAAAACACTGTAGCAAATATTCATGGTGAAACATGACCAATGAGACATAAGCCATAAAGCCTACAAAGTAAGGGAGGTTTTCTGATATAGCATTCCAGGACTGTAAACTCATTAGACAGGAAAACATGGTGAGACTAATGTTTGTTTTGAGTAGAATCTGAGCCAGAAAGAAGCCAGTCAACTGCACTTCATTTGTGGACATAAGTAAGACAAATAGTGACTTTGCAATGATCCGAGACAGCTCCACTACATGACCATTTGAGAAAAGAATGAACACCTCCTAGCCTGGCTCTGCCTTGGTGCCCTGAGGTGTTTGGCAAGGGTGAGATAAAAGTGCTTTGAGGATTCTTCATAGAAGTATTGCTGATGAACAGACAGCTACAGGGCAGACATTTAGGTTAGCTTTGTATTTTTTTCCTGCTGTTGAATTATTTTAATGGTAATGTTCTTTATCTGATGTTTCCCATTGCCTAAGATAATTGATGCACTGTCTGAACTCATTTAGGTAGTAAAGTTTAAAGGCAAGGTATAAAATGTGTGTTCTGATTAATTAGGATCATTCACCACTGGATGATAGACAATTGGGGAAAAAAAAATTCCACACTATTCACATGCCCCTCTAGTTAAAGGCTAGAGATTTGTTAAGACCATAGAAACTACTTACTCATTATGTACCTCTTCGTGAAATATTGAAACCTGAGCTTTTCTTTGAATTAAACTCCTTCTCAACTGGCAGGAATATGTTGTAACATTAGGGATTTGTGACTGTAGGGATTACTGATTCTTATACCTAAGACTCAGAAGGATAAAACAATATACCCTAAAATATTCAAACTTCATACTAGATATATTGATTATCACATTTCATTCTAAAATTATCATGAATACAATCATGGTTTAGAAAAAGTTGTAAATTTATATACAAATAAAAATAAATACTTAGATGTTAAATCTAAGATCAAAGTTATTCAGTCATTCATCTAGATTTTAGACAGATAAAAAATGCACTTAAAATATGAATGAGTGAATGTTCTGTTTCTGCATTTGTAAGAATTTAGAGAAGGCAAAGGATCTTATATAGTGTGATAGAGAGGGACACTTTGTAACTTTAATGTTCATTATTTTCTTACAAAAAATATTTAAGAATATAATAAAATATATGTATTTTAAATATTTTATATAATATAT